CAGGATTTTACATTACAAGGTACACCATGCACAGCTGAAGTATTTCATCACTTCATTTTATTCCAAAGATCTGACAGCAGTTAGAAAGGAATGAGTTCCATAATGAGCACAGGAGAAAACTGACTTTACCAGACTATGTGAAAACCTGCAAAAAATGTGGGTAAGAATTATTTCAGAAAAAAGTAGAAGAAATTATTTAGATGACTACACCAACATTTGAGTTTGCATGGTGTAAACAAAGCAGAAGGCAATACCAATTAAGGAGAAAATTACAGAATTCCTGAGATGCTTGGTCCCCTAGCTAACCCACAGCTCTTGTCCTTTCTGCTTGTAGTCATGGGATGTGTAAACACAGTACGATTCAGTACGAATTACCGGATCAACCTCTAAATGACCTGCTTTCCCTAGACAGTCAACCAAAATGGTCTCACTTGTGAACGTTGAAGCAATATAGCCAGATTGTTACAGCAGCATCCTGGTTGGCATCCATCCTGGCTGCTTAAAGGAGAACATCATCGGTGAGAGCTCTGCACTCACTCAGAAGCTTCCAGAATATATGCTGTGCCACAGAGATAAAACAGCTTGTTCAAAGTTAGCATCTGTGTCTCTGCTTTCCTGTAGGTAATTGTCTTGACTTGATTTGTAGTATATGCCGCTAGTTCCTATTGCTTATCTAGCCAATTTTAGAAATATATAAATTATAGCATCCTTAATGTCTGCAAATGTATGTGATGAATTGTTCAGCAGTTCTTACAAAAAAAAAGAAAAAGGTGCGAAAACGAAGTTAGCAAGTTCATGCAAATAATCAAAATCATGTTAGAAGGTAAAAACGTGTACTTACCTGAAAGTGAACAAGTAGCTCAGGTGGCTTGCAGGAGTGTCTCCTCATAATAGATCAAACTGGGTTTTTTTAATCCTTCAGTCTTGTTCCAAGGATTTATTTTGCCATCATTTTTCTTTCTTTATGCCTCTCTAATAAGGAACCTTATTCCAATCATTATATGTTCTTAAAGAAAAAGATGGTGAAGTTCAATGGCAGGTATACTTAGTTTGGGAAATAATCCATTAGAATCGTCATGAAGTGAAAGATGTAATATTTTACCTGTATGTGTATATCTGCATGCAGATGTATATATTAAGCCCCATATAAGCAGTATTAATGTTTCTGGGCTTTTTATACTTATATAACATAAGGGGGATCAACGTAGAAAACATCAAGATAAATTATTGAGATATATTAAATTGTGGCTGTGCCTTTTAGCTCCAATGAGAAAACAAGCATTCTCTTCTTGATGACTTTACATTCATCAGGATTCACAACTTCACAACCATTTTCTTATGGCTTTCTTCACTGGAAGTCTTCTAGTGCTCTGCATTTTATAGGAAATAATTTGACTCTACAGAAAGTCCCTGTCGTATTTGTTGTAGCTAAATTCTACCTTAATCTGCTATAGCAGCAGACTGACTAGCCAGCTCTGTTGTTTTATTTTCATCTGTTTTATCATTCGTACCATGAGACTACTGCATTCTCAAATTTGACCCCAGGGACCCCAGTTACAATATCCTCATGTCCTTGACAACATCCCTCTGCGCCTCCTTGGAATATTCTAACACTACAAATGATATCATGTATCCATGCCTACTAGGTACACAAAAATCAACAGTATTTAGCTTTGTTCCAATTTAAATAATAAAATCATCTTTTCCCAAGGAATGAAGACACAGCAAACTTTCCTTGTGCCTAGGACACAAGTTAGCAGCTGGAATGCTGGAGTCAGCGTTTCATTCCATGAGAGTGAATAGCATCAGATCTCCAGAGATTTCTTAACTGACCTTCAAAACACAGAGTCTAGCTTCCAGCAAACTTAAAGTAAACATATTTCTCTAGAGATTAGGATCAAAGCACAAGAAAAACATTCTACTCAACTACGTGCTGCTCGTACCATTACTTGTTTATTGGAGCAAGGCTAAGTGGTGCTGGGAGAGATGAGATTCACTTTTTTATTGCATTATCTAATGGTAAAAGCACTTCTCAAAGGCTACCCAGACCTTTGCTAAAAGATTTGCAAAAATCTTCCTTCTTTTTCATACCATCACTGCTTCATTCCCAAATATGATCTTATATCATCATGATCAAACTTTGAAGACTTCTTCTGAAGCAAAGCCTTGGGCAACTTAAACATTTTATTAGAGGACATTTTACCCAAGGACACCCTCAGGCTTTGCCTATGGTCTTGGGGGTACTTTTTTAAAGTTCTCAAGCAACCACTGTCATCTGTATAACAGGAGTAATAGCACCTTGCTCCCATATCCATATAGGGTTTTAGGAGGGTAATTATATTACAAATTCAGAAGTTCCTGAGGTATTACAGGAGTGGGTCTTGTTTGTGCATACAACCTGGGCTTACTGGAACAGATTGAGTTCCTGGAGGGGGGGGGGGGGGGTGAGGGATGGGGGGGAAGTAATAATCAAGAGAACCACTTTTTAAAGAAAATTATTTCGTATGCAGACTCTTTGATAACTTTAAAACGTGATTGACATTCATTAGAATGAAAAAGCAGAGATGTTTCTGCAGATAAGTGAAGTTATTTGTTGGTGAGCTTTGTGCAACAAAAGGCACTATAAGTGACATAAATTCTTTGTCTCTGGCCTGTTAGGATTTTGCTTTTGCCACTTCTAGGCTGATTTGAAACTCTGTTAGGAAGCTGCAGTACTGATTCAGCAAGGAGGAGATCAGGAAGGTGGTTCACTCAGGGTTATCCTCTGAGGCACTTGGTAACTCTAATTTCCACAGAAAAAGGAATGAAAATTCCTCTGAAACCCAGTTTCAAGCCTGTCATATGACCTTGAATATGGAGCACAGTTAACCCTAAACATTCCTTAATTGCCTCCTTAGACACCAATTTATACTCCCTCCCTGACATAAAAAAAAATGTGCAAAACTTAACCTTGATTTTGGTGATGACTGTAATTGTGCACTAGATGCACTGAGCTCTGTCTGGTTTTTATATGTCATGTTGTATAAATGTACAAGCTGATGGAAGTAATTTTCTCATATAAATGGGTTCATTTGTTTCACACTCAAATTACTGTTTGATCTTCAGGAAATGGAAGTCCAAATTCAAACCCTATTATACTATTATTCCAAGGATATCACATAAAACACGTCTGAAATAATTTTAAACAAGCATGTTTCCCACTGATTTGAGTTACAGATTATTTCCTTACTATACCCTATCTTGGTTGACAAAAATATTAAGGGCAATAAGAAAGACAGTAAATCAATTCAATGTTAAAAATTTTCAATTTATAGGAGCAACAAGTTTTCCATAGCTTGTGCCAAACAATCAAGTCATTATTTTTGGTCTGAAACAAGCATGATAGCCTTCCTCCCTGCCCCTTTCCACCATTTTACCACTACATCTCCCGAAATAGATCAGTCAATGCCTGCACTTATACATTGGTGCCAGTGGAGACCTGCAGTAATTGTTCTTTTCTCACAGTTCAAACAACCATTTCAGTTTAGATCTTATGAAGCAGAAACCCATAAAATGCCTTTTTAAAACTCAACTGTGGGTATAAGCCAGGCAGTGAGTGTGTAAAAACAAAGTATGAGGGCATAACTCTAAGTGGACTAGAGGTAAGCTCTGTCATAGTTAAGCACTCCCTCAAATCTTGTCCTCCACATGCTTCTCTTCCTTACTCTTAGGCTTTGCATCTGGTTAAGATAAACGAATTAGCACTGTTATTCAAAGTGCAAAAATTTCAGCTGCCCAAAGTCACTGATACATAAATACTTCAGGAGACCTTCCCCAGTTGTTTTATACTCCTCTAAAATTCATGGTTGCTGGTGCTGCCTGCAACCAGCTACACCCAGTGATTTTAACGAAGAGTGCAATCCAACGAGTCCAGCAGATGTTTTTGGGTTTGCTTCACTGTGAACTTTCTGGTTTCTTCTTCCTTCATTTCCAGGAATCAAGACCCAATTTTAGCAAAGTGCTGATGATCCAACCAGCAACAAGAAGACTGAAATAAGTCTTCATCTCCGCAATCCTTAAAACATTCAGCATTGCAGATCTATAAGCAGCTGATGTTTGGATACTTATCCAAGCCTCTTTAGTCTGAAAAACTGAAGGATGGGAAATTTGTACAACTGGCTCTCAATAGATTTGTGGTATTTCCTGCACTTGTTTGGCACAGAAATATAAACTAGCTCACATTATTTTGGTACTGCCAACATGGAACCCAGCAATAAAGAAATATGTAAGAAAAAACAATCTTTTCCAATAACAACAAGGGAAATTTTCTCTGAGTTATGATTTTGTTTGACTTATGATTTAGTTTATTTCTCTTTATATTTTACTCTTTTGCTATCCAGGGGTATGTGACCTTAAGTTGCCACCAAATATTAGCAGCACAGTTGGGATAATGTGAAAAACCAGTCATATATCCTGGAGTCCCTTGTCTTCCTACTGTTCGGTTAGGTAGATGTGGGGATATTTTGAAAAGGAAGGAATGCGTGGAAGACTGGAATATCAAGAAAAAGTCAGAAAAACACCGTAAAATGCTTGCCTCCTCTCTTTGGCCTTTATAACTCCTCAGTTGGTTTCATTTTTGGATCATTGCTTCTATCTCCATTACCTGATTTCTGGATAAACCATGTCTTAAAATCCAATTTATAATGCTCATAATGCCAGTAGCCGTACGCAGAGAATGTGAAGATGGCTTCACTTACAGGTATGTAACCTGAAATAATGTTAGCATGATTAGGATAAGCTGAAGCAGTCCTCTTGCTCCCCATCATGTTGGCAACACAATACACAGCATATATTGTTAAAGGTTACCATTTTATTATAGAATGACCCAGCATTAAGAAATCTAGGGCACTGCAAATGACCAAAAAATGCCTGTCTAACTTTCACAGGTAATGCAGCATTACTTATTATTTGACCAAGCAAATGGCCATCCACTGAATTACATGATTTGTCCATCTTTCCAGATCACGTGGAGAACCCCAACAGAATGACCAGCAGTCACACAGACTGTCATTACTGCCTGCAGTCTCTTCGTGGAAGGAAATATGCATTGAGAAATGAAAACGCTTATTGTGTTGCATGTTATGACAGCCTGTATGCCAACCCCTGTGAAGAGTGCAAGCAACCTATTGAGTGCAATTCCAAGGTAAACATCTAGCTTTCAATTCTTCTTCTTTGTTAAATTACACACAAATCCAATTTCTTTAATGGCAGATTCTGTATCCAATACTCTGCATATCCCTTTATTGCTGAGGAGACCTTAGCACGGCGGTTGTACACCCACACACAGCAGACAGGAGCAGTGCTATTTTCCCAGAATAGGAAAGCTCTGGGACTAAAGATTAGGAAATCTGCCATACATACATCTCAAGCATACAGCAAGGCTGTGGTGTATGTGTGAACCACAACTAGACTTCACCTCCAGTCACACACTGGCTGCAGAAGCTGCAAAGTATTGGAGGGATGATAGGGTGCTGATGTAATTCAGTGTATCAGGTTGAATGAAACTTTGGAATTTCTGAGAAATGTCCATTGAAAAAATATTTTGTATATTGAATAAATTACTTTAACTGTAGGTTTTGACATGCAGGTGCCAAGCTGAAAAGACAACACATTTATAATTTGCATATCATTCCATGTGTTTTTGGAAATGAAGTATTTTTGAATTATTGCTTAATTCCATGCTTACTTTGCTCATCTCGCAGATGGCATGTTAGTGGCAATGTTTCTGACCTTGGTTTTCCTTTCAACTTTCCTTTTCCTTATAATATTAATTGATAATACAAATTCCTCTGTGGTCTTTGACAGGGTTTCCAGTACCCCATATTTCAATTTAAAGCATATACACTTGACTTTAAATTTTAAGTTCAGATGAAACCTAGCAAAAAGCCTTTGCCTTGCCAGGTTCAGTGTGCAGTGTTCACCCTCTCCCCATGCTCACTTTTCCTCCATTCTTTTGAAATAAATGGTGAAAGTTACTAAAATAAGTCTCTTGGAAGGTTTCCCCAGCTGAAGCACTTCAAAGCACATTGTCTGAGTACAGGAATCATGCAAGGAAAATGCTGGCTTGGATGAAGACACTCCTCAAACCCTCATCAGCATTTTTCCAACAGCAAACCTGAACATGTAGCACCAGTCAGGTTCACCTGGAAAACATATGCTTTCAGCTCAAAAATTTCACTTTTAAAATTGAAAATTATTGACAGGATTACTCTTATCAAAGATCATACGCAAAAAGTCATGTATTTGGACTGAGTGGAAGGAAAAAAACGTGAGAAAAAAGCAGGGGTGACAAGAAAGGAGTGCAACAGATTAGAGTAATCTAGAAAAATGGCCCACAGAAATCTACAGCTAATGTCCTACCTCTGCCAAGGTGTTAGAGCTTGGCTTTCTTCCCCTCCTTCCTACCCAGTCTTTGCCTCAGGCTGGTCTGGGCTGACAGCCTTCTTCCAGCAAGGTCCAGAGTGCTAACTAAAACAAATTAAAGTGGTAAGTTCTCAGCACCTCCTGAAATGAAACATGGTATTTCTTTCATTTTTAGCACTTTAAAAGGTGGGGACTTGACAAAGGAGAACAATGAGATTGGATTTGTGCCCTTTTGTGCTTCTTACTTATAAAGGAGATCTGGAAGGAGCTGGTTTTCATTTGTGGGAGGAGGGTTGAGGTTTGTTTTTCCCTTGTTTTTTTAACCTTGGAAAAATTATATATGCTGTTTGGTCTTTTTTTGAATTCTTAGTCAAGGTCTCATACATACACTGTTAGTTCTTTCATTTCCTAAGCCTGCTGAGCCTTAAACAAACATTTTTCTGCTCAGTTTTCAGGAGGATTTATATCAAGTGTAAACAAAAAGCAGTGATTTTTTTTAATCTTCCTAATAATCACTTTGTTCTCAATGAGATTTTAACAATTGTTTTCTGCAATAATATGATCTTTCTTTTAGTGCTATGTAGTGTCAGCTGAAAGAAAAAAGAAGTAACATTGAAAATACATGAGAATATTCTATAGAGAATGGACTTCTTGTCAGGTGGTCTGTGCATATTAAAAACATTTATCACTTGTTTCCCCTTGAAGGCCAACTGTAAAATATAAAATTATTGTTCCCATAAAAATGTCTCTCTGATATTACATAAGGAAGGAAGGACCATTGTATCTGCTAGAGCAACTCCTAATGGCCTCTGCAAGAGATCTACAAAACCATGTGACATTGAGTACTTACATCATCCCTGAGCACACCCCTGGCTGGATGTACCTATCATCTTGTCAAGTCACCACTGCAGTGCTCTTCATTTTTTTATTTTAATTCTGTGAGGAGCTGAAGGATAAAAACACTGTGAAGAAATGTTTTCATTAACATGAACTTACTTTCTCCAAGGATCTGGCCTACAAAGGCCGCCACTGGCATGAAAGGTGCTTCATGTGTGCCAAGTGCAGTCGCTCACTGGTGGAGAAACCGTTTGCTGCCAAGGACGAGGTCTTGCTGTGTACGGAATGCTACTCTGATGAGTATTCATCTAAGTGTTTCCATTGCCAGAAGACTATTATGCCTGGTAAGACAACAGGGACCCTTCCATGAAAAATGGAGCTGCATTTTTAATTTTGAGCACCTTCTTGGAAAAGCAAGCTAAAAGGTCCTTGACTTTCAGTACAGCTTTGAGGTGACTACTCCTCCTTTCTGCATAGTGCTCTCCTGGCAGTGAGGAGAGGGCAGGCAGATACCTCTGATCTAGCACTGACAGGTCTTATGAATCCTTATAAAAAATATTAAGAGTTCAAGTCTGGGTAAAATGAGTTCATGTTATGTCCTTGATTCTGTTGCAGTTCTTAGGAAGCATATCACTCTATGAGAGTAGGTAGATAAACTGAGCTGTTGTGAGCAGGAGTGACTGATGAGACAGGACATCTGCATGTTTGTCTGTCACATTGACCAGACCTTGAGCTTATGTTCTTTATTCCATTCCTTTCACTCAGAAATATTTTTGTTTAAACTGTCAAAACATGACAATCTGCCTTCAAATCATTATTGGCATTTTTGCTAAAAAGAATACATTTGTGTTTACAGTAAGTTTACTTCCTGCAATTAGCAAACTTGAAAATTCTACACTTTCCACTAAACTGCCTCTCAGCTTGTGATATGTTTGCTCAGGACATCCTCTAGGCCTTTCATTGCTACCACACCAGTAAAGCTCATACAGCAGAGAGATTGCCCAAAAGACGCCTCTTCAGAGGCATCTAGGAGAAGCCACAGCACTGAATGTGGAAAAATGAAGCTGCTTGCTTAGGCAAGCAAGTACCCAACTTTTGGAACAGGCAACTACCCTCAATGCTCAAAACATTTTACAGATCCTGCATATAACTCTAAATACCAGCTGCAAATTATCTACCATGACCTCATGATTACTAGTTTGGGAGTTTTTGGTGAAGATATCAGTAAATTTGGCAGTGACATAGGAATTTTCTCTTTCAGTAGATGTAATACCAAACAATAGGGTCCAGGCTGTGCAGAATTATTGTCTTAGTATAAATACTAGGTTATTGATGTCATGTTCAACCTGTAACACTGATTTGTAATTTTACAGTTTATTTCCTCTTCATGACAGGTAAAAGCTGTATTAGAGGAAATAAATGTTGTAGCAATATAGTTGTGTTCAGTTTAAAGACTCATCATGGCTAGGCTTCGCGAACGAAGATTTGGGAAGGGCTCTACCCACTTTTCTTGCAAGCGCGTTGGTGGCTAAAAAGGCCAATACGAGAGAGGCAAGTCCGGTTGCAAAAGACACAGCAGAAAGACTCCTTAGATGGTATATTCTGCAAGGCTCGATTCTTTCTGCATTGTCTTTTCCCCTCAAGGGTGATCCTGCGTGCTTTCTCAAAAGCATCATCAGCGTTATAAATGGTGTGTCTCCAGGCCTCCCGATTAGAGGCCAGAGTGGACCAGTTATGGTGGTCAATATGCCCGAGGCTGAGTTGTTGCTTCAGGGAGTCCTTGTATCTTTTCTTCGGAGCTCCTCTCTTGCGGCAGCCGGTGGCAAGTTCACCATAAAGCAGGATCTTAGGGAGGCGGTGGTCCTTCATCCTGGAGACGTGCCCTGCCCA